TTCCCATTCCCATTCCCATTCCCATTCCCATTCCCATTCCCGTTCCCGTTCCCATTCCCATTCCCTCCCCGCGGCAGCGCCGGCAGCGGCCGCCAGGGGGCGGCTCCGGGCGGGCCCCACCGGGATGGGATCGGGATCGGGATCGGCCCGGGATCGGGAATGGGATCGGGAAGGGTCCCATGATGGCTCTGGCATGGTGCCACTCCCATTCCCATTCCCACTCCCATTCCCACACGGGAATGTGGGTGCTGCTTGACAGTCCCGGGAGCGGGATTGGGATCAGGAGCGGGATTGGGATCGGGAGCGGGATTGGGATCAGGAGCGGGATTGGGATCAGGAGCGGGATTGGGATCAGGAGCGGGATTGGGATCGGGAGCGGGATTGGGATCAAGAGCGGCAACGGGATTGGTGTCGGGATCAGGAGCGGGAGCGGGGTCGGGATCCGGAATTGGCCCCGGGACCAGGAGCGGGATCTGGGATCGGGACCAGGAGTGGGAGCGGGATGCGGGATCGGGACCAGGAGCGGGAGCGGGATGCAGGATCAGGACCAGGAGCGGGATCCGGGATCAGGACCAGGAGTGGGATCCGGGATGCGGGATCAGGACCAGGAGCGGGAGCGGGACCAGGACCAGGAGTGGGATGCGGGATCAGGACCAGGAGCGGGATGTGGGATCAGGACCAGGAGCAGGATGCGGGATCAGGACCAGGAGCGGGATCCGGGATCAGGACCAGGAGCGGGATCCGGGATCCGGGATCAGGACCAGGAGCGGGATGCGGGATCAGGACCAGGAGCAGGATCCGGGATCGGGACCAGGAGCGGGAGCGGGACCAGGACCAGGAGCGGGATGCGGGATCGGGACCAGGAGCGGGATCCGGGATCCGGGATCGGGACCAGGAGCGGGAGCGGGGTCGGGACCAGGAGCGGGATGCGGGATCAGGACCAGGAGCGGGATGCGGGATCCGGGATCAGGACCAGGAGCGGGATGCGGGATCAGGACCAGGAGCGGGATGCGGGATCCGGGATCGGGACCAGGAGCGGGATGCGGGACCAGGACCAGGAGCGGGAGCGGGGTCGGGACCGCGGGGGCGGCGGCGGCGGCGGCGGCGGCGGCGGCGGGAGCGGGGGCGGCCGGTGCGGCGGCGCTCCCGCCCGCCGGGGGAGGAGCCGCGGGCCGGCCCCACCTGCCCCGGGCCATGGTGCGCCGGAGGGAGCGGAGCGGAGCGCGGGGCGGGCGGCGCCGCTGCGCCATGGAGCCGGCGGTGGCGGGCGGCGGCCGCCCCGCAGCCGGTGCCGCTCCGGCCTCCGCCGCTGGCCGCGCCCGGGCGGCGCCGCCGGGGCCGCGCTGAGCCCCGCGGGGACCACCCCGAGCCCCGCGGGGACCACCCCGAGCCCCGCGGGGACCACCCCGAGCCCCGCGGGGACCGCCCGCGGCCATGGCGCAGCCCGCGGGGCGCGGCGGGGCGAGCCGCGAGCTGCCGGGCATCAGCACCGTCACCTACGTGTTCGTTTACAGCCCCGCCGGCCCCGCCGGGCCGCCCGCCGGTCCCGGTGCCGAGCCCGCGCCCCGCGCCGCGCCCGCCCCGCTGCGCGGGCCCAAGCGGAAGCTTTACAGCGCCGTGCCCGGCCGCAAGTTCATCGTGGTGAAGAGCTACGCGCCGCAGGGCGAGGGCGAGATCCAGCTCAACCGCGGCGAGGCCGTCAAGGGTGAGCGGGGACGGCGGGACGGCGGCGCGGGGCGGCCGCGGAGGGCGGGAGGAGCGGCGGGCGATGCCCCCGGCGCGGGATGCGGCAGCGGCGGGGATGGGGCGAGGGATGCGGGCAGGGATGGGGAGCGCTCAGGTGTGCGGTGGAGGGATCGGGGTGCCCTGCCCACCCGGGGGGCTGCGGCTTTTGGGGTGCCCTGCCCACCCGGGGGGCTGCGGCTTTTGGGGTGCCCTGTCTGGTTTTGGGGCTGCGGCTTTTGGGGTGTCCAGTGTGGTTGTGGGGCTGGAGCTTTTGGGGTGCCCTGCCCACCTGTGGGGCTGCAGCTTTTGGGGTGTCCTACCCACCTGTGGGGCTGCAGAATCCTGGGGTCTCCAGCCCATCTGTGGGGCTGAGGCTTTTGGGGTCTCCAGTGTGGTTGTGGGGCTGGAGCTTTTGGGGTGTCCTACCCACCTGTGGGGCTGCAGAATCCTGGGGTCTCCAGCCCACTGTGGGGCTGCGGCTTTTGGGGTGCCCTGGCCACCTGTGGGGCTGCAGCTTTTGGGGTGTCCAGCCCACCTGTGGGGCTGCAGCTTTTGGGGTGTCCAGCCCACCTGGGGGGCTGCAGCTTTTGGGGTGTCCTGCCCACCTGGGGGGCTGCAGCACTTCGGGGTCCCCAGTCTGATTTTGGGGCTGCAAAGCTCTGGGGTCTCCACTGTGGCTGTGGGGCTGCAGCTTTTGGGGTGCCCAACCCAGGGATGGGGCTGCAGCTTTCGGGGTCTCCACTGTGGCTGTGGGGCTGCAGATTTCGGGGTCTCCAGTCTGGTTTTGGGGCTGCAGGGCTGCGGGGTCTCCACTGTGGTTGTGGGGCTGCAGATTTTGGGGTCTCCACTGTGGTTGTGGGGCTGCAGATTTTGGGGTCTCCACTGTGGCTGTGGGGATGCAGCTTTTGGGGTCTCCAGCCCAGCTGTGGCGTCCCAAAACTGTGGGGTGTCCAGCCCAGCTGTGGAGCTGCAGCTTTTGGGGTCCCCTGGCCACTCATGGAGCTGCAGTGTTTTGGGGTCCCCAGTCCTGTTGTGCAGTTTTGGGGTCCCCACCCCGCTTTTGGGGTCCCCACCCCGCTTTTGGGGTCCCCATCCTGGTTTTGGGGCCAGAGCTCTGTGGGGTCCCTATCCCGTTTTTGGGGTCCTTATTCCTGGTTTTGGGGTTCCCCTCCCGGTTTTGGGGCTGGAGCTCTGTGGGGTCCCCAGTTTCGGTTTTGGGATCCCCATCCTGATTTTGGGATCCCCAATCCCGGTTTTGGGGCTGGAATTCTGTGGGATCCCCAGTCCCGGTTTTGGGGTCCCCATCCTGTTTTAGGGATCCCAAATCCCGGTTTTGGGGTCCCCATTTTGGTTTTGGGGTCCCCTCCCGGTTTTGGGGCTGGAATTCTGTGGGATCCCCAATCCCGGTTTTGGGGTCCCCATCCTGATTTTGGGATCCCCAATCCCGGTTTTGGGGCTGGAGCTCTGTGAGATCCCCAATCCCGGTTTTGGGGTCCCCAATCCTGTTTTGGGGACTCCCCAATCCCGGTTTTGGGGTCCCCAATCCCGGTTTTGGGGTCCCCAATCCCGGTTTTGGGGCCCCGCTCCAGCTCCGTTCCCATTCCCGGTGTTCCCATTCCCGGCGTTCCCGTTCCCGTCCCTCCGGGGCCGTGTCCTTGTCCCCCCCCCCGCCGGTCCCGGCTCCGCTCCCAAATCCCGAATTCCCACATCCCGAATTCCCAACCCCCCCCGCCCATCCCGGCTTTTCCCGGCTCTGCTTCCAGAGCTGCAGCGGGAACCGGGAAATTCTCATGGATAACAGCAGGGAAAAAATCATGGATCACCCTAGGGGAATTTTCCTGGATAACACCAAGGAAAATTTCATGGATAACCCAGGGGAATTTTCCTGGATAACGGCAGCGCTGCCGTGGGGTTGGGCTGGGAATTCTGCTGGAAGCTCGGAATTCCAGCTGCCAGCTTCCCGAGGAAGGGAATTCCCTGCCAGCCGGAGAATTCCAGAGTTTTTTCCCCCCTCTCCCCGGAAAGTTTTGGGAGCTTCTCCTCCTCTCCCTCCTCCGCGAATTGTTGCGGATTCCTGGCACGGCGCGGGGCTGGAGCCTCTGGAATGACGGGAGAGGGAGAGCGGGAATGTTCCCGGCTTGGAATTGCGGCTCCCACATTCCCGCTGCCCTTCCCATGGATTTGTTTTCCCCGCGGGAATGGCCGCGCTGAGGAATTCCCGTGCGTTCCTTGGAATTCCAAGGGTTTCACGCGGCATTTCGGCATTCCTGCGCTGTGTGGAATTCCAGGATCCGGGAAGGATTCCTGGGATGTGAAATGCTTTTTTCCCTCCCCCCCCCGCCTCCTTTTCCCTGTTTTTCCTCGTGGAGTGGGTGGTCCTGGAGTCGCTGCCACAAAATCCTTGGGATTCGCTTCTCCGTCCCAAAATTCCTGGCGTGTGATCTCCCGGGAAAAACAACCCGTGGGAAGAGGGAGGAGGAGGACGTGGAGTGACCCCTGGGAGCGGGAAGCGCTTCCCGCTGGATATTCCCGGAGTTCGGGAGGACGCGGGGCTCAAAGCCGATCCCTCCCCTCATGGAATTTCTCCGGGAGAGGCCGATCCGTGGATTTTTTGGGAATCCTGGCAGCTCCGGGACGGCGCTGCGTTGTCGTGTTCCGTGGATTTGGGAAAATCCCGGATCCAGCCGGAGCCCTGAGCTCGGGGGGTGGCCGGGAATGTTGGGAGAGGCTGGAATTGCAGGAATTGCGGCCGCGGGAACTCTCCAGGGTTCTGGAATGACGGGGGCGACGGATGCTGGAGATTCCCGGGAATGGGAATGCCGGGAATGGAGCTGGAAGGGTGGGAAAAGGTTTGGGAATGAAAGGGATTTCTGGCTGAGGATGGGAAGCTGGAATTTCAGGAATTCTGGCCAAGGAGCAGCCTGGGAATCTCCGGGGTCATGGAATGCTGTGGGGGATGATGGATCTCATCCCTATCCATGAGATCATTCCCAGCCCATTCCAAGGGCAGGGAAATTCCCGCCATCCCAGGCCGCTCCAGCCTTTCCTGGGACATTCCCGGGATCCGGGGGCAGCCCCAGCTGCTCCGGCAATCCCAGCCCAGCCAGGAATTCCTCATTCCCAAAATCCCACCCCAATCTCCCTTTTCCCAGTGGGAAGCCATTCCCCGCGTCCCATCCTTCCATTCCTTTCCCAAATTTCAGCTCTCCCGGATCCCCTCCGGGCCTGGAATGTGCTGGAAGCTCTCCCCGGATCCTTCCCTTCTCCAGGGGAACATTCCCAATTTTCCCAGCTTTTCCTCCCAGCTCCATCCCTTGAATCCTCCCAGTGCCTCCTCTGGATTTGCTCCAACAGCTCCACGTCCTTCCCGGGATCCTCCCCGATCCCATATTCCCGTTTTTCACCGCATTTCCCGGGATCAGCTCGTTCCCATGGCCTCTCCAGGGCTCGGAATTCCTGGGAAGTTTCTCTTCCATCCCAAGGTCAGGAATTTCTCCTCCGGCTCCTGGTTTTTCCCTCGGGGAAAGTCGTTTGGGAAGGGTTGGGAAGAAGCCAGGATGCAGCTGGTTCCCGGCTGGAAAATGATCCGAGCCCTCGGGAATGCCATCTGTCCCAAATCCCGCTTTTCCCGGGCTACGTTCCTTCATCTCAGGCCAGGCCGGGATTTTTCCATTGGGATTTTTGGGATTTCAGGTCACCGGGAAAAGTTTTGTGGAATTTTCAGAGCCGCTCCGCTTGGAACTTCCCCAAATCCAACTTTTTCTGAGTGGAAATCCAAGGAAAAGTTCTCCACTGGATAGAGGGGGGGGGAAACAAATCGGGATTTGGGGATTGGTGGGATGGCCTCAGGATTTTTGGGATTTTTGTTGGAAAAGGGTTTGGAATTGGGGCTGATCCATCCCTGGAGTTGTCCCAGGTCAATTCGGAGCAACGTGGGAATTGGCATGGGATGATCCCAAAGCTCCTTCCCACCCAAACCATTCCGGAATTCCAGGAATTCTTGGCTCCTCCTCCCCTCCACGTGGAGGGATCTGGCTTGGGATTCAAAAATTCCCAACTTTTCCCGTGCTTTGCTTTTCCTTCAGCATGGATCTTTGCCAGGGAAGATCCCTCTTCCCAAATTTCTGCATCCGCAGGGAAGCTGGACAGGACAATTCCCGGATTTTCTATTCCCTACCTCCCAGTTTTTAATGGAATTTTTTCCTTATTTGGAGAAGACCAGGAATTCCCGCAGTGTTCCTTGGTCGGGATCCAATGGAATCATCCCAGAGTTTCTGAAATTCCCAAAAAAGGAGATTTTCCCAATGTGGGGATGGAAATCCATCGGAAAACCGTGGAAATATCCAGGATGAGGCTGGGTTATTCCAGAAAATTCCCATTAAAATGACGTTTGTTCCTGGGATCTGGGAGAACGTTTGGAATTCTTATCAGTTGTCCCTGGAAAAATCCTTGGTGACGAGAGAGGGAGATCCCATCAAAACTCGGATTTTTGGGACAGAATTCCCACATTTCCTGCTTTTTTCCCCTCTGGTTCTTTTTGGGACAGAATTCCCACATTTCCTGCTTTTTTTCCCCTCCAATTTTTTAGGACAGAATTCCCACATTTCCTGGGTTTTTTTTTTTCCCTCTCCATTTTTTTTGGGACAGAATTCCCACATTTCCTGCTTTTTTTTTCTCACCATTTTTTTGGGACAGGATTCCCACATTTTCTTCTCTTTTCCCTCCAATTTTTTTGGGACAGGATTCCCACATTTTCTTCTCTTTTCCCCCCAATTTTTTCGGGACAGAATTCCCACAATTCCTGCTTTTTTCCCTTCAGGATCCCAGGCCTGGGCTGGGACTTGTGGGCTCAGCTCCGGAGTCGGATCCAAATCCATCCAAATATTTTTGGGATTGACCAGCGCAGGAATTCCCGAGGTTTTCCTCTGATTCCCGGGCTGATCCCAACGGATTCTCCTTGGATCTCGGTTTTGGATGGAT